TGGGGGGGGGGCGCTTCTACCTAGATGTGCCGGGGGGGGGGGGGGTCAGTAAGCTGGAGGTGGTGGAGGAGGAGGAGGAGAAAGAGGAGGAGTGGGTGTCACAGTGAAAAGAGTCCTGACGGAAACGCATCAGTTTTCCCCACCGGCTCATGCTAAAGAGGTTCCCGGGTAAACATTGCTTCTGTGGAGACTGAAATGGGGGCGCGCAGCGGGGGGGGGGAGAGAAAAGATTTCTCACAAGCCTGGTTCAGGACTGAGGGATCCGTTATTCTCCCACCCACCCCTTCTTAACCTACTTGGAGCCAGCCCCCTCCCTCCCCTGATGTACTCCACCGCCTTTTCTCCAAAAAAGAAGAGTTTCCTATCTGCGCAGCCCCGGAATCTTTTGCCTTCTTGGAGGAAGTAATGTAATATAAGATTTCACGTCTCGCTTCCATCCCTGGAGATTTTGCAAGAGCGAGCCACGCGGCGTGGAGTGAGCGAGAGCGAGGAGCTCCCGGCCAGGAAGCCTGGCGGTTGTGCCCCGGGACTTGTCTTTTAAGGCTGGACCCCTTTTTAAGAGCCGTCCGCCTATTTCAATGGGGCTCCATTTCCAGAGAAAAAGGCACAAAAGGGCAGATGAAAACTCTGCCGAGAACCCAGGTGCCCTGGCCGTTTGTCCCCTCCGGCTGTCGCTCTGTCCGAGGAACCCAGGAGTCCTGCTCTCCGTTACTTCCCCCTCAGGTAGACTCATGGAGGACATTCCTCCTCCACACAACGAATGGAGACCTATCAGGTGAAAATTTGCACAGCATGGAAAAGTCCTCCCTGGGAGAAAGTCGACATTCGCCAAGCAACGCCTGTCCCACATCGCTAGGACTTTGTTTCTGCTCCACATCAGAATGTCTGCTCCCCACTAGTAGCTATTTCAGTATCGGTTATAGGGTAGTTGATAATAGCCAAAAGAGCCCCCTTGCCTGGAGTACGGTAGCACGGATAAATGGGCAAAGCAGAGACTTAAGAATCGTTTGTGGGAGGAGGGGGCAACAAGAGGCATTTGTCAAAGATATGGCATTGTTGGTCTAATAGTGAGAAAAGTTCCTTATGTCCCTCCCCTGCAACTGATTCGGAATCCTGTTACTCGAACCATGTAAGCTGCTTCTTGATTCCACAATACTGTCTTCTGAGGCTGCCCCTTCTGTCTTCACCTTTTCCACGCTTAAGAGTTTTCTACTGTACTCACTTTTTTGTCTAGATTACCTGCATCAAAAGTGATACTGTAATAGCTGATAACTGATGGGCTGAGACCACCAAATTTATAGCTTATCAACAGGTAGGGTGACATGGGCTGGTTGGGTAACTCAGTGAGTTGGGTACCTGGTTGTGGAGCCAGAAGTCAATAGTCTGATTCCCCACTGTGGTGCCTCCCAGGAAATGAGCCATTCTGTGTAGCTTTGAGCAAACTGAACAGTTAGAGAACTGTCAGAAGAAGAAAAATGCTAAACTACTTCTAAGTACTCTATGCCTAGAAAACCCTGGGACCTCTATAAATTGGAACTGACTTGATGATATGTAATTATTATTATTATTAAAATGGCATGGGAATTAAGAAACCCCCTAACTGAGGTCTGTGCACAGAATTAACATGCTCCATTTCTAAAGCTGGGACTTCTATGGTTTCGTTTTGCAAATAGAGAAGATCAGAAGCCAGGGGCATTTTTTTGCCTTAATAAAAGTACGGTCTGATTTTGGATTTTTCCTTAGAGACTGGCATAGCTTACTTAATAGTCATGTGAATGCAATTCCACCTGCTCTGATACATCACACTTAATACATATAAAAACATATAGAGGAAAACACAAATGTCTTGTAGTGAATATATATGCTTTCTTCTTCCTTGCACATCCATAAAGGGAAAGGGTAAGCTGAGGATATGCGATAGGTTTAGGGTGAGGTGTTTATTTGCTATGCAAACCATCATGACTTCCTCCACCCACTAAGATAATGACCAGGCACTAGAATCCTATTTTTAATCTTAAGTATAGATTTTAATGTTGAAATCATGTTTGTTCATGTGGTTTCCAAGCAATGTTCTGGCATTCTTACAAACTCCCCTGCATCTTTCCATAGAAGGGTAGTCATTTACTTGTCATCACACAGATACAAATGACAGGTGCATTAAAAATAGATCACTGATTGGTGAAACGCTGCATATACTACTTAATAAGTACAGATGCAATATCAGAAATATTTTTCATAATTTGAACAGAATTACCACCAGATCTCACTGAAGTGGCAAAGACAGTGACTAGTGATCAACCTATATGCTGAACCTTCTCCAAGTTATGTTAAATGGATGGGCAACTTCCAGATCCTTGAATTCCCTACTTCAGGTTCTTTATCTGTAATTCAAACTTGAATGAGATGGCTCCCTGGCACCCTTTCAAACAGAGGATTGTCCTCTTTAAAAGAGGATGCGGGAACATTTATATTGCTATTTACAGCAGGGTTCCTCTTTTGTTTGGCAAATCTATCTCTACTTAAATCCCTTTGGAAACCTGTAATACCCTGTAATATACCCAGTTGCCTAATCTAATTGCCTCCCAGTTCTGCCCTTTCTCTGACTTTTACAACCAAAGTCAGAATAACAATTGGGAACTGTAAATTTTCAATAGAGCTCATAGCATTACTCACTGCTTATAAGGAGCGAGATTGTCATGTTTGCTTCAGTCACACTGGGAATCCATTGCTTTAATGTTTTGTGCTGTGTAGCCTAGTACTTACCAATGAGCCAGGAAGATACAGTACTCTTTTCCCCTCTAATGGTAAATTCTGTTACAGTATTTCACCTACAGATTGCTGGATACTGGAGTGGCAGCCACTACCTTATAAAACCCAGGCTTACCGTAGGGCAGCAATGGCGAACCTATAGCATGAGTGCCACAGCTGGCACACAGAGCCCTTTCTGCAGGCACACAAGCCATAAGATCACTACTCTCCCCCCAGCCAAACCTCAGGAGGCGGCTGCAGATGTGAAGCTGGCGCTTCGATGGGCGGCGGGCCAGGATCTGGAGCAGCTGGCACTGGAGGCGGATCCAGAGTGGGGTCTCAAGGCACTTCCATGCCCGGGATTCCCCCTTTCGCCACCACTTCCAGTTCTGCCACCACCACCTGGGTGTCCCCCCCCCATTTGGGTATTCGGGCCCAAAAAGGTTTGCCACCATTGCCTTAGAGTCACAAAGCCCAAGCATCTGCAAGTCACAGAGCTCCAATTGCAGATTATTAAAGTAAGATAAAGCAGTGTGAAATCAGCAGTAATTGGGGAAGGCACTTGCATGCATGTAACCTGCAAAGTCTGAATCACAGCAGGATTCAAAGCTGCCTCTGAGATAGACTTCTCCTCTGCTCATATAAGAAATATTGTTTATTGGATGTTAGTTGCAAGTCTGGAATTGGGATAGGACAAAAGTGTTTTGAAGTGGTCAGAGGACCAGAACAACATTAAACGCTTGGTGGCAAAAGCCCTTCTGAGATTATAGCCATTTGCCCTCAACTATCTGGCTGTTTTCACAGGGATGCCAGCTGGTTTCTGGCCAGCTGCACGTCTAAAATGACTTCTGGGATCAGCACGGGGCTCCAAGCATCTTTCCCCTGAGCAGTTACTCCAAGCGACCCTACCAATCCATAAGGTGGCACTTGCTCCTATATCCTCGACGGCGCGTCCACACGTGCCCCCACCCTCAGCCATGAACGGGCTCGTGGGAAGCAGGCATTCGGCCCCATGCCTGGTCGCTGGCCCCGCAGGTTCTGCTCGCCTTCCTCCTTTCCCACCTCCAGGCCCTCTTGCTCCTCCCTCGACCGCTCCGCCTCCTCCCTCCGTACTTTCAAGGCGCTCCCTTGGTCGCCTGGCTCCTTCGCCGGATGCCCGGCGCCGTTAGCAGGGCTGCTTCGCCGTGGATGTCGCCGAAAGGGCAAGGTAAGATCTGACAGCCTTGGCGGGGGGGGGGCGGTCTGAGCCCCCACCTCCTGCGCTCTCAACGGAATCCTTGCCTGCCTCCTGCTCACTCCTTCGAGGGAAGGGTGGCATTTGGGGGGGTCCCTTAAGATCGACCCCATAACCTCCCACTTGTAAGGCTCCCCCCCCAAGCCTCAGGACGCAGCCCTACAACTGGCTGCGAAGGGCGGGGGCACGCATCGCCCCCCGAGATTGGAGAAAGGGGTGGAGAAAGGAAGAGAGGGCTCTTTCCTTCCATCACAGGGCAGCAGCACCAGCAGCAGCCGGGGCCATTTTGGAGTGGCGGGATCTGATTTTCCTTGCCAAAGGACCGCTTTGGGGTTTGGATTCTTCCTTCCATCACAGGGCAGCAGCAGCAGCAGCAGCAGCCGGGGCCATTTTGGAGTGGTGGGATCTGATTTTCTTTGCCAAAGGACCGCTTTGGGGTTTGGATTCGGGCGCCTGGGAAAGAGTTATGCGTCCTTCCCTTCCCTTATCCCGTCGGCAATTAATTAGCATCGTCCTCAAGGCGGCCTGGTGGGAGACTTTAGCTCGGACCTAATAGGGCGCAGAGAGACGCAAAATTGGCATGGAAGAGGGCGCCTCCTTGTGCCCCTCTCCCCCTTTTTGGCATCCTTGCGGAGGAGAAATGGGGACGGAGGCTGCTTCCCTTTGGGGCCGGGCTGGCGACCCTGCAGCCCTTCAGATGTGGTGGAACTCTACTTCCCATCAGTTGTCAGTTGCATGGCCAGTGGGGAGGCATGATGGGAGGAGTAGTTTAGGAACATCTGGAGGGCTACAGGTTCTCAAGTAACAGAGATGAAGGAGGACTTGGCGAGTAAGGAGGCTGGATTTGTGAAGAAGGAAGGCCTGCCTCCGATCCTTGCATTTTTAGAATAGGAGGAGACTCTTAAGGAACATCTGTTCGAACTCCATCCTCATTGCAGGAAATCTCTAGGCAAAGAGCATTGGTGACGGATAACTATCTAACCTCTGTTTATAAAACCTCCTGCCCATCATCTGCCAAAGTAATCCATGGGTAAGAGGCAACACTGCAACAGTATTTCTTGGTTCCATTCTGCTTCATTAGTACTCTTAAAAATAGTTTAAGTTCTCCCTTCCCTGGACTTTGCTTTGTGGTAGAGTCAGAGTTTGGGGGTTCAGTTCCGCACTGTGCCTCCCTGACAGCAGTTGGCCTTGATGATCCATAGGGTCCCTTCCATCAATGCAGTTCTAAGATTTTTATAAAAGTATATGTGGACTAAAGCAGATGATTCAGATTTTAGAGGAGGGTTCCAAAGAGAGGACACTTCAGCTTTGTGTACAACAAGGGAAGTAGTAGTTACCGGTTATAAGTCTGAGCTTGATTGGCATAGAGTGTGACACCAGGGGACACTTCAGCTTTGTGTACAACAAGGGAAAACAACAAGGGAAGTAGCAGTTACTGGTTATAAGTCTCGGCTTGATTGGCATAGAGTGTGACACCAGGGGCTCTTTCCGATGGTGGGAGAGGTCAGTGCACCTCATTAGGTAGCTAGCACCCACCTTAAGCTGGGCAGCCCCCAGCCTTTCCGATGGTGGGAGAGGTCAGTGCACCTCATTAGGTAGCTAGCACCCACCTTAAGCTGGGCAGCCCCCAGCCAATAAGGTGCTGCCTTGCCATGGTCTGTTAACCTCACGGGGTGCGTGGGGTTTAGGGTGAAAGCCGACAAGCAGATTGATAACTCTGCACCATGCAACAATCATAAGAAAACTTCTGCCCTGAAGTTGGGCACCTGAAATGTTTGGACAATGACCCCTGGCTTTTCTGACGACCTGCAGGAAATAGACAACGTGTGCAAGACAGCTGTCATCGACATGGAACTGAGTAGGCTGCAGATGGACATTGTTGCCCCTCAAGAGATGAGATTGCCAGACTTGGGATCTGTCAAAGAAAAAAAATTCTCATTCTTCTGGCAGGGAAAACAATTGAATGTTCTAATGCTGATTGGCTTCAGCTCTGCTCTCAGATACAGATAGTAGCGGAAACAGGTAACATCAAAGGAATGTATGATGGTATAAAGCAAGGTTTAGGTCCAATACAGAAGAAATCTGCTCCTTTGAAGACTGCTACAGGCGTGATTATCCAGGAGTGAGCACAGCAGATGGAACACTGGGTGCAGCACTACTCTGAGCTATATTCTAGAGAGAATGTAGTAACCAAAGAGGCATTAAATAACATCGAGTGCCTGCCTGTCTTGAAAGAGTTGGACAGCAAACCAACTTTA